TTTATTGTTTAAAACGAAGTTGTTTTTAGTTAGTATACGTTTTAAGTACGTTGGATGAATTCTCCAATCAGGTTTGTGTGTGAGGATACTTTTGGCTACTGCTCGTAAGCCTTCGTCGGTGGGGATGTTGGTGTAGAGAGAGGTAACATCCTTGGTAACGAGAATGACATCTGTTTCTTGGGTCGAGTCGATGGATTCTAATCTGCATTAAGAATAATAGAAACACCCCCATGAGGGCTACCATAATTAGTTGAGTTTTGATGAAGAATAACAAAATGTCTAAAAAAAACAAAGTCTCAAAATTGCTCAAGAAGTTTACCTGTAATCAAATAGCTAGAAAATTGTACTTTTGAATTAAATGTCAAAATACCGGTAATGATAAAGTCAAACTATCTCCAAGGCCAAAGTTAAATGTAAAACGTCAAATGTTTTCTTGCAAAATGCTGTTTTTGACGTGTCTACATTTTACATTTGCGCTCTGCCGCATCTCCTTCACGCTTTCTGCATAGCATTCTACGCTGGGCACTAATTTTGATATGCAAGTTCGTCTGAATTGAATAAATTTGAGGAAATGTATTTTAAAATGTATTCGGCCCAAACGTTTAAAACCACTTCTTTATTTTTGCCAAACGAACCTGGGTGTGTTCGATTGGTTCGGACCATCTGTAAAACCTTTACACAGAGTGGTGACGAAAAGTCGGGTTGTTATTTGCCTCCAAAGTTGAATCTCAAGTCCCTTGGGATTTTAAAATTACCGCTAACGCCATTTTATGGTAACCGGTTTAATATTATTTTCCACAATGCCGCAATTGCAAATTATATGGCCAATCATATACAAAATTATCTTGGTGATTTTGGAACGGAAAACAGATTGACCCAAAGCATATTTTTAGATATTAAAAATCCGTTATTTCATATTGAGTGCCAGGGTTTGGGCCTGATAGATAAACTAATTACTGCTCCACTGAGGCCCTTTTAGAAAGCGGCATTAATGCATTTGACGCATGAAAACCATCAGAAATTACATGATTTCTTCTAAAGCCAGAATATTCAAAACTTTGTTGAAGGTAAATCACACTCATTTGAATCTCTAATCAAAACTGAAAATGAATCGTTCCTTGCTAACCTGACGAAATTTAATTCTGATTTAAATCTTAATAAAACCCTGATCCATTTTTTAAAAGTCTAGTTTAGAAAGTACATTGCAAAAATCCTTGACTTTAATCCTTCATGCTCGAGTTCTGCCATGCCTCACAACAAATTACCGTTTTATATAATATGAAATGAATAAATCTGGCGAATGGCTTAAAATTCTTTTACCTGATAAACGTAATTTGGTCTTAATGGATGCTCAAAGGATAACTAAAAATCAATTTTCTAAATTTAGGCGAAAAAAGGAAGAAATCGAAAGAAAAGGCTAGCGGTTCTTTTGGCAAAACAGAATGAATTAATAGAACAGGGGAAACGTGAGATTATGTGATAAAGGGGCACCTAACAACAGAATTTGTCGGGGTGGATCTTTGGAAAAGTAAAGAGGGTGTGGAAAATGGGCTTTTACAACAAACTTACAGATAGGGAAATGAAAGAGGCACTGAAAGCACATCTCCGGTTTCTTAGGTATGTTTTAAATTAGCAAGTTTCTAATAAGTCTATATTTTATTTTTCTGTAGCCGGTAAGGAACACTCGATTCCAGTTTTAAAAGAAAATTTACAAAAATTAATTGACCTGGCTGATCCTATCTAACTTTCAATGCCCCTTTTTAGCGGTTATAAAATACAATTTCTTCATTCTTCGTTTCTAAAAACATTTTATTTGTCAATCCTGACGTCCCAGCAGACCGACTTTCCGACTCTTCTGAGAGTATTTTAACAATTCATTATTTAATAACTGTTTTATTTAACCCAATCGGTCAATTATCGGATAGCAATTTATTTTACAAAATACTACTGTAGATACGCTTTCATATCGTGTCTGGAAAGTTGCCGTTGACATACTCTAAAAACATGTCAGTCTAGACAGATGTTATACTGTACATATATATAAATGTATATGATTTAAGGATGTTGTAATAGACGAAATACCGTTACGAAAGAAGATCTAACGTACAGCTGATTTAGAGGGCGTTGGTCTCGATGACATGTGTGATTTTAGTTTTATTTTATCGTCCGCTTTTAGTCCCTATATAAAGTTATAGGCAATACATATTAAAATAATCAGCATATTTATTCTTGTGTAAGTGCTGTTATACAAGAAGGGGCGTGATCACGAATTTGAATCTGTTCTTAATATCTTCTAGTTTGTATTCACTTATTCAAACCTAACTTCAAAATGTTAATGTACATCTCAAATCTGTACAAAACTTGGTCAGCTATTGCATATTTAATCATTCAGATTGATAAAAAAATATTCTGTCATTATTAACTTAATACTCTAATTGTTCCATTAAACTTTTCTTCAATAAACATACTTCCTAACATTATTTCTTAATTGAGAAATCAAATTTAAATTTACAAAGGCATATTCACATATAAATACCAATATAAATGGACTTATTTGTCTATGGGTATACAGAAAATATAAATAGATTGGTCTAATAGACCTGAAATTCAATCGAATGGAGAAGATTTCGTAAGATAGCAAATCACAATTTTAACGAAAGAGTGCATATTCCACAGAATTAAACTCTACACAATAGAGTCTTTATAACCAATATGTCACCGATGTACATTTCGATTGAGAGTTACAGAGTCGTCATAAAACATATTTATTTCATAAGGTCAAACAGTACGAATTTAGTCTATTTTAAAATTTAATATAGAATTTATAGTCTTGCGTTTTAATCAATAAAAAGTTTTGGTATATTGTTAGGTTAGAACAGAATTAAATGAATAATATATACAGTGTATAGTGTGTTTTCCACGTCTGGTTTACAATGGATGCAATTGAGTTGACTGTAATCGATTCCTTATCGGGGCCATTTGGAGACTAACGACAGCTTATATGTATTTGCTACGACTACGTTGCCACTGTCATAACACAAAATCGCATATTTTAGTAAGCTCAAAATTTAATAGTCGATGTAATTAAACAGGTGGTTTATATGGATAGACTAAAGTACGTAATTATGAATGTGCCAGGAAATAACTGATGGATTCAAAGAGTCATAGAAACATATTTTCCAGTAACGTGTAACACGATAACTGGCCTTTCGCATTAAGACCAGTATTTTGCCATTTTAAACTTACCCTCGTCACCGCTCCCACGTCCTAAATTTGAATACAGGCTTATTAAATTTAATCCTATTAAAAAAAGGTATATATGCATTGTGCCCAACAAATAATGAATAAATTTGAAGCGTGCTTTTCAATGATATGTAAAATGATATCTGGAATTTCGTATAATGACCCGTATTTTTACATTGCATACCGCCACCCCCCTCTCCGTAATCATAGTAATATAGTTTATTACCATCCAAATGTGATCGTTTTTTAAGGTAAGTAAATTTCTTATAGTGTGCCAGGTTAGTTTCCTTTTATCGTGTGCTGGTTTATAGTGTGCCAGGTTGATCTACATTTGCATATATATCAAAGTTAGTGCTCTACGTAAGATCCTATGTGGGAAGCGTGAAGGACAAATAAGATGCGACAGAGCTCAAATGTAAAATGTAATGAGAGAAATGCAAAATGTAGACACGTCAAAAAAAAACCCAGCATTTTCCAATGAAACATTTGACATTGCAGTTAACATTTAACTTTGCCCGTAGATTTTATCATTACCGCTATTAGGACTGTGTACATTGTACTTTTTACATATAATCAATGGAAGACATATTAGCAGAGCATTTAATATTGGCCACGCATGCCTTCCATAAAAGACACCTTTAACTTAAAGATGAAGTATTATGTGAGATTTAGAACTGACAATTCTTCCTGCACAGTTCAAAAATAGATCATGAAAAATGAATATATTGAAAATTTTAATCTAAGTACTTGACACTCGAGACTAAATTTAGATTATCCATTTTTAAATTAAATTATTAAATGGCAATCGTGTTTCAATCCATTTAATTCTCGGCCTTCCGATAGTCTAGAGAGTGGATTATAGGCTTGTCAGGTCGATAAATGTCTACATAATAATTTATATATCATTCGAAGCCAAAATAAAGAACTGCAATAGGCAGATTTAGCTCTTACTACAATGCACCTTTAAGGTAGGAGATATCAAATATCAGCTGGGGTTCGAGGCGTCGGTTAATTTTATTGACTTATAGTTGTACCTGTATATGTTGACCTATGTATTAATGTAGGCATACAAAGATAAACATACAACCAATAATTAAAGGTGTATATTGGAGTTGTATTTACATTCGTCGACATGACAACAAATCTCGTGTATAATATGAGAAAGGACAGACGAGGGCCCGCTTGATAGTACATGGATATAATATAGGTAATTTGATTACTATTTTTGACACTATCAAATGGATGTGAGATATTCACAATTGTTAATTTTTAAGGAATCTTCGCACGTTTGCTTAGAATAACAACTGTATTTTTGTTTAGGTCACCGCGTACAAATTGCACAGGTAGGAGAACATTTTTTTAATCCCGTAGAAATTTTGTTGTAAATAATCTCTTGTAAATGGAAATATAATTTTGTTGTAAATAATCTCTTGTAAATGGAAATATCTCTTGTAAATGGAAGTCTATGGTCGGTTATAATCGATATGAAGGTCTGTATACATGTTAATACATGATAACAGAAATATAGATTATACGATATTTGATCGATAGCTATGTTATGTTTTCTACAAGAGAGTATAGATCTAGAAATAGTTGTATAGACTCGAATTCATTTTAAATTCCACGTATCTCGAGATCTTTGACAACCACGACAGAATATCGACATGTTGCAAGTAAAAGATATCCTCGATAAAGACCTTTATTACGAAGGTATAAATGCACAATATGTATTGTTTCTTTCAGACTCGGATTGAATAAACAGATATTAACCGCACATCAATGGAATTCAGTCGGATGGATACAAATTTCAAACAATTGCTGCGTACTTGTTTTAAAATTGAATATTAATATAACTGCAGAAAATCGTTAACAATGGCTAGTTTAGAAATAAGGATTTTTATAGCAGTGATTTTCATCTTGGTTCTTATTTTCTCTTTAATCGGAAGCAGTATGTCACTGGTGACCTACATTCGTCGTCGCAAGTTGCATAAGCCCCATCTTTATTTGCCAGTCTCTCTGTGCATTGCAGATATCATTGCTGTTTCTGTCTGGACGTTAATAACTATTATTGCGTTAATCAACGAGGGTTGGTTTTTAAGCTATGAAATCTGTGCCCTTCAGAATTACGCCATGACATTTAGTAATGTGAATAATATGCACACTTTTCTACTGTTAGGAGTTGAGCGGGCAATGAAATTTTTAAAACCATCAAAGCATGAAGATGTATTTATACATTATATAACACTGGCGTTGATTGGAGCCGTGTGGTTTATGGATGGTATAATTGCAATCTTTCCTGTGATTGGCTGGGGAAGAGTCCGTTTTTATCCAGAACAATATCAGTGCATTCCAGAATACCAATTATCTACGTCACATTTAAACTTTCTGTTTGTGACCACTTATGTCATCCCTATTTGTTTATTGGTCGTATTGTGTATTTTGTGCTTTATGAAGATCAGAAGTGCGCGGAGTAAAGTAGTTCCAGATTCAGGTATTATTACCGAAGAGTACCATGGATCGGATGTAAATCCATACTCATACGGCGTAAAGAAAAATAATTTGAAATTCAAAAATGCCGGAATCAAATTTAAAAAGCCAAAACTGCGGCCAATAAAATATACTTCACAAGGATATGTAAGTGATTCTGAAACAGATGATGAATCCTTGGAAATGGAAGAAGTCAAAAGGCCGTTTTATTTAATGTCAAAAACAGATTACGATCTTCTGAAAACATACGTTATTATAATTTGTGCATACGTTTTGTGTTGGTTCCCTTACGTTATACTATCGTACACGTGGACATATTCAAGGTACAGCTATATACCCGAGTGGTTGATCTTAATTACCGTTATTTTAACACACATTACTAGTTGCATAAAACCAATAAGTTATTATTTCTTCAATAATAATCTAAGGTCCGCGTTCAAAAAGACGATTTCACTATCTAAATGTGTAAAGCGATAAAGCCAGGTCACTGTAATTTCTACAATGCCGTTTCTGGTCAATAAAATATAACTGTTAAAAATTGTTATCTATTGGTTATGCCTGTAGATCTAAACCCGAGGTCACCAGGCTCGTAAATACACTATGAAATATGCAAGGCCTAGAAACTCGATCCCATGTTTCTGTTGTTGGAAAACAAGACTATGGATTACAAGAGTTACCTGCGTGTCACGCAAGGTCATTGGAAATCCGAAATCTCAAAAATAAAATACTGATTATACACCAGAAATCGTAGCATTTTAGTTGAATGATTAAAGATATCACCTCGGTGGAAGCGGACGTTAAATAAAGCTATTTCACACACAGTCGATGAGGACTGCTGATCAATGAGAGAGAGAAAGAGAGAAGTGTGGTTTAATGTCCACTCGACACCATGCCAGTTGACTCAATGACAGACCTTATGATACAGCGCGCACGTGCTCACCATTCGGCCACCCCCACCCTCTCCCGCTGACCAATGAAGTTCCTGGTTTAGAGTGAGGGTCCAGGTCATAAGGCCTTTTCGCTTGTTTGTCGCCTAAGGGCTATACTATATACCGGAAAACAACCGGAAAACTACCGGAAAACACCATGTTATACTGAATACCGGGAAACACCGGAAAAAACACTAAATACCGGTATTTAGTGTGTTTTCCAGTATTTAGTGTTTTTCCGGTGTTTTTCGGTATTCAGTATAAAATGGTGTTTTCCGGTGTTTTCCGGTATATAGTATTGCCGGTCGCCTAAGGGTTTTAAAACTGAACTGAAATGAAATGGGGTTTAACGTCGTCATAGTTTTCAGCACCAACCAGCAAATGTTACCCAGACAATCGCATTTCCACCTATACTCTTTTTGTAATTCAGCTGCCAAGGGACCTATGTTCTATTGACCCATCCGAACGACTAGACCACTGACAAGGAGAAACCACGCTGAAAATTCCCGAGGAACTTTTTCGGCCATAACTATTGGTTAGTGAGCCAGGGCTTTATCTGTTAGCCACCTTGGCCCTAAAAGAGCTTTATACGCATTTTACATCAACAGGGTTACTCATTGATAAGTGTATCAGATGCGAGCGTTGTACTAATGAAAAATCGCTATCGTTGGTAGGGTTAGCGTAGTCTTTCTGGAGCATCTACCTTATTAATATGCCCATTTTTTAAGCTTACGCGCTTTCATGTAATTTCAACAGTAAAATGTTCGATTGATGTGTGTTTTGTGAAACACGACCCAGAAACCACATACTATCTGAGCCAGGCTAAAAAATATAATGTGTTTTCGTGTTGTAAGAACAAGCTTCTTAATTACGGTTCACTTTGCATTTTTAAATACAAAATTAATGGAACTGCAAAATATCGATTTATCGTGAGGATTAATCTTTTGACGTTTTTTTATACTTTGTCATTCAACATTAATTGATCAAGTTGTGAAACATTTATTTATAATGAAACTCTATCGATTAAGGTTCCAAATGAATAGCAAATGATTAAAAAAAATCTTGTAAATCAGTAGGGCGATAAAAATGACACGATTACAATTTAGAATAAAATCATGTTATCATTAAAGGGCGGAAGACTTCGGCGTAAATATTAAAGAGTCTTTAGAGCTTTGGAGATCTTCGCAGGTGGGTAAAAACATCCACAAATATTAGGTGATCCTAGGGTTAAATTGAATCTGTCATTACATCGATTTTGTTTGTTAATAATCTGTCTGGTTATGGTTAGACAGAGTGCAATAATTCATATAATAGGCAATAATTAATTTTCATCGATGTCTATTTTTTTTGTACAACTGAACAGGTTTTTCATTTATACGGGAATATACTAAACTAAAGATGATTTTATCAGTTTTAGTGACTCTTATACAATACAGTATTTGTAACAGCAACATTCGTCAACACAGATGATCATTTCCCTTGTTCATTTACAATCGCTTTAAAAATACGGTAGCAGAAAATACGTGGTACAAAAATGGTATTATTAAACATGTCCTAATTAATGTATTACAACCGTTGATGGAATTGCAGATTGTATTGAGATACAGAAGCGAAACAAAAATCCGTTAGTCATGTGAACTCCCCAATTGAGAACTGGTGTAAGGTGTTCTAGAACTATACCCAATTTCGACTTGCAAAATCTTACAAGAGAGAATTGGGGTTTAACGTTCACTCAACACAAACTAGGCCAATATCGGAATATCATATGGTCAGGCGACCCTACTCCTTGTCACGTACAACCGGGGAATCGAAACCATGCCAGTTGATTCAGTGACAGACCTTATTATACAGCGCGCACGCGCTAACCATTCCGCCATCTACCCCCCCCCCCCCCCCGCAAAATCTTATAGCGATACTCTATATTACAACAATCATATAAGGGGAGATAACTTCTGTAATGTGCCACCTTACACTCGGCAGACTCCGGTACTCTACATCTAGACTCAGCTGTATGACGGTAAGTGATATCTACCTACACCTATACAATTGCGATGCGGCTACCGGTTTACTTATTAGGAAAACTTGTCGTTTTTAGAAAGAAGTTCTCAAAATTGCGTCGTTCGAAGAGTGTGTAGAATTTCCAATGCAAAGTTGTCCTTTGTGTAAAGAAAATCAGATAAAGTTCCAGTGGGGGAATTCGTCATACAACCGAGGCTAGATGTAGGGTACTGGAGTCGGGCGAGGTTTGCCGAGTGCGCCACCTTCATCTTCTTGAACGGAACAAAATGGATGGAAGGATTGGGATGGCCTAGTGGTTTAAAGTGTTGCCCTTCTAGCTCTAGCTGGCCGGTAACCTCTGGCTTACAGTCGTGGGTTCGATGCCTGGTGTGGCTCGGGTACTCCGATTTCCTTCCACAGAAAAGATCCCTGCGTGTGCGCTACGCATAACGAAAGTAAGACAATTCGTCTGCGATACCGCCCTCGGTGGAAGCGGACGTTAAACACTAATAGAAGAAGATTACCTGGATTAGTTTCTGTATTACATTTAGATTTTCTGATATTTTAACGATGAGATGAGGATAGAGGCATTGGGATCGCGTGGAAGCTGCGATTTTTGTTCCCGGGTACAGTATTTCACTCTCCCACAGTATAACCTCTAGCAAATCTGACCGAAATTAAATTGTATTTTCGTTTTGGTGTTTTTCTTTTCTATATTTACACTAGATAGTAAGCTAACATACTTTAGAACTTCCGATAGCTATACCCATATACATTTGAAAATGTTATCGTGTTTAGCCTAAAGAAGAGTGTGTTTGTCAGTTTCGCGTAATCGCCATGACAAATTCAATAATCGTGAATATAATCCATAAAATTGTCAACACAATTATTGAGATTTTAAGAATATAAATATCACTAATTGGACAAACAATATAATATTTATAACATAACAACCCTTAGGCCTACCAGTATTTAAAATATAATAAACGAATTCGGCAACCACGAGGTAGGCTCCGCTTTTCGTTGTAGTTGTAAAAGTGCAAATTCGCAAAGTTTCTTCAAATACTAGATTTTTATGGTCTAGAACCGAAGAGAGGTGGAAGGGCTAACAGTTGCTTCCCGTGATTTGATGACAAATTAATGTATTCGGTCTATATATTAATGTGTGACGACCGTATCCGATGAAATGAAATTAAAACGTGTTTGAAATTTGAAATTATCACTGTTTTTCACAAACTGGATAAAGAGAGAAATGGGGTATACCGTCCACTCGACACAAACTAGGTAATTTCGGGACTAACACATGGTTCAATTTTATTTCAAAAATTCGCTTGCGCCTAGGAGTCTTTAGCAGTGGGAGAAAACCGGAGGACCCGGAGAAAACCCACGAGGTTGGACAGGCGACCCTACTCCTTGTCATGTACAACCGGGGAATCGAAAGCACTCCAGTTGACTCAATGACAGACCTTATGATACAGCGCGCACGTGTTAACCATTCGGCCACCCTACCCCATGTTTGTCACAAACTGGTGTAAATGTGGGGCCGTTTTTATACGCCCACATTTTCATGTGGACGTATATTGTATAACTATGCCTCATTATAACAATCCTGTAATCGTAAGTGAAATTAACATGTACTTGTTAGAAATTTGAAATTATCACTGTGGAGGTATATTGTATAACTATGCCCCATTATAACAATCCAGTAATCGTAAGTAAAATTAAAATGTACGTGTTTGAAATTTGAAATTATCACTGTTTGTTACAAAATGTGGGGCCGTATATTGTACTCACCACTGTCCGTCTGGTCGCCCGTTCACAATTTGTTTGTGGACACTCTACAGGTCACAATTTTTATCCGATTTTGACGAAACTTGAAATTAGTGTAAATCTCCGAAACAAGGGCCATAATCCATGAAGTTACGGTCCGATACATGTGAATAGCGAAAGGAACCAAGATATTTGGGATATAAACTTATATTTAAAGTTTTGTCAGTCGAATAGATGGTCCACAACATTGGTATTACATACTTGTACACAATTTGCGTACAAGGAGCAGCCATTTTGTCAGGCAATTTTGGGCCGATTTTCACACAATACGAACTGAACCATCATCAGAGTGTGTCCTCTTGAGCTTCCACAACCTTCATATATACCACACTTTTACACTATAATTTGCGTACAGAGAGCGGCCATTTTGTCGGGCTTAGCTTGTGGACACGCAAGAGGTCACAATTTTTATCCAATTTTAAAAATTGTTCTAATATATCACCGTTACACCATTCTGATGATTGACTTAAAATTTCATAAAAATCGGACCAACACTGCCCAACAAAATGGCCGCTTCCCGTACGTAAATAGTGTAAAACTATGTAATGCCAAGGTTGTGGACCCCCTAGAAGTCACAATTTTTATCTGATTTTGATGAAAGTTAAAATATATGTTTATATCCAACAGATCTCAGTTCCTTTTCAAATTCGTGTATATCCAACCATAACATCTGGAATATGGCACCTGATTGAATAATAAATCGCGTTTTTTTAATTGTTCTCCGCCCATCTCCTGCAAAATGTGGGCGTATATCTTGCATGGCAACCGCTTATTTTTAAATAAGCGAGAATAGAGTAGAGAAACTATTGTATGTAAAGACTCGGCGCAATGCTGAATTATTATAGTGTGGTGGATTTATATCTGAATTGAATAAATAATTTATCTTTTTATTAGATATTTAAAATTAGAACCATATATACATGAAAGGGTAAGAATGTCATGTTCACGGGGATCACGGTGGCTAAGTGGGTAAGACGCTGGATCGCTAGCCTGGAAGTCGGATGTTCGATCCCTGCATTAGCCGAGAAAATTCATCCAGATTTTCCGGCGTGGTTCCCCCATGTCAGTAATACAGGACGGAGGGGCTGACAAGGAAAGCTGTCTAATCGTTCGGATGGGACGAAATACCGAGGTCCCGTGTACACATTGGCGTGCACGTAAAATATCCCTTAACTCTTGGAATTAGATATGAGTAGACCGTAGTGCCGCTATCGGGCAAAATTTCCCTCATAGCACATGTGCCCGTCTTCATTATCTCGGTTCGGAGCAGAGCAGTCTGACGTTAAACCCCACTCATTTCATTTATGTCTAATTCTCGACACTCACTCACAATTTAAAGGGAGTTAATGCTTTTCCATAGGTATGCCAATATTGATAATATTACAAAGCCGTGTCCCAGCATCAAAGTAATCGATAAAATAGACGTGTGCCTCGGACATTAAAGATGTACTATGTAAGAGCTAAATTTGCCTTCTTTTTTCTTGGTTTCATATGTTATATAAATTATTAATTAGGCATTTGTTCACATGACAAGCTCATAATCAACCCTCTAGAATATCGACTGGTCGTGGTATTCAGTGAATTAGAAAACTCGCGATATTTAATAATTTAACGTTAAAATCGATAATTGAGACTTTATTTATTATCGCAGTAATAGCAATGGCACTTGAAAATTTTTACTGTCTTGTCAAAACTTCAAACACATAACTTGGCTTAGACTATGGTAATTTGATTACAATTTTCTGTATATTCATATTTGAATTATTACCACAAAAACAGTCGGCTCTTTAACTAAATCTTACATAATGAATCACCGCCAACCCCCTGTGAAAAAATTGTCGACCATAAAAATAACCCTAGATATACAATGTCCGTCAATTTTACAAACTTGCCGTCTGTGTGTAGAATGTGAGCTAAGGATTAGAAATCAAGTGTAACTCGATTTTTTAAAATAAGAAAAGTCGGTTAATTATATCTCTCTTAATGAAACATTAATTGGCTTTCAAAGGACAAAATAACTCTGTGACTTAGAAAGATCAGATATCGTTTTATCTTACATCTCGCACATCAAAGAAACGTAGCAATAACTTACATACATATTTTGTTTGTAATATTAAAGATGCATTATGTAAGATTCGGTTAAAGAGCTAGCCATTCTTGCTATAATACTTCGGAAATAGATAATGTAAAATGAATAATTTGAAAATTTCATTCAAATCACCCAATTGCGAGCGAAGATATTAGACTTTGAAGGTTTTACAAGACGTGTGCAAAAATTTCAACCACCGCACTGGTTGTTCTAAGCTAAGTCTCGCTCCTCCATTTTTAGCTTAAATCAAAATATGGCTGAACTGTTCTGATCTATTTAATATCGGAGAAATCCGATGCCACCGAGAGTTGATTATGGTCTGGATAAGTTAATTAATGTCTAATTAATAATTTAGAAAACATTCCAGACCTAAAGAAAGACCCGCAATAGGCAGATTTAGCTCTTGCATAATGCATGTTTAAGTAAAACATATCAAAGGGAAGATTATTCAGGTAGCCAGTATATATTAAACACATTGCTAATAATTCTAATAATTTTACCATTTAGAAACAAAATTCAATTAAAACAACATCTTATAATAATATTTAAAAGGTTGGACATGGGGTATTAGATTTAGGATAATAAACATCATCAAACTGTGCTAAGGTTGATCCGTAACAAGATTTGAAGAATCGGGAAATGACGCGATAAAAAGGAAAGCTGTTATCGTTAATGGCTAAAGTAGAGAAAGACAACAGATACACAGACAATTATAAGCTCACTGATAATTCCCTTGAAGACCAGCTTTTTATATGAGACTGTGACGGGATATGTTCGAAACAAAGAAGTCATAAAAAGAATTGACTGTACATTCCATTTTTTATTTTTCTGGAATATCTTATTTCAATAGTTTTGCTGAATTTGTTGAGGGCATTGTTAAGCATGTAGTCTTTCGTCATTATATATACTTTAGAGCTTGGTAATGTGTTTAAATTAAAAATCAGAAATATTCGACACATTACTGAAACATATCCAGATCGAATCGAGTGTCTTGCATAATAAATGTGGAATCATACAAAATATAAACCAGCGGCTGCCAGGCAGGATACGCCCACATTTTGCAAGACATGGATAGAGATCAAGCTAAACAAAAAGCGATTTTTCGTGCAATCAAGAGCCATAATTCAGAAAGTTAAGATCCGATATGCGCGAATATCGACAGGGACCAAGATCTTTGGGTTATAAAGATATATTTCAAAATCGGATCAAAATTGTGACCTCTAGAGTGTCCACAACCTTGATATACCATATATACATTTGCGTACATTGGCCATTTTTTTCACGAAATTCGAACTCTATCGCCATTAGGGTGTAACGGTGATATACTAAAACGGTGTTTTAAATCCGATAAAAATTGTGAACTCTAGAGGGACCACAAGCTAAAAACGCGATTTTTCGTACAATCAGGGGCCATAATTCAGGGAGTTACGATCCGATAGGCGCGAACATCGAAAGTAACCACGATCTTTGGGTTATAAATATGTATTTCAAATTTCATCAAAATCGGATGAAAATTGTGACCTCTAGAGTGTCCACAAGCTAAAAACGTGACTTTTCGTACAAACAGGGGCCATAATCCATGGCCGATGGTCCGATATATACCAATATCGTAAGGAACCGAGATCTCTGGGAGATAGGCCTATTCGTCAAAATCAAATAAAAATTGTGGACAGACGGGTGTCCGGACGGACAGGGGCGACGACAATATACGTCCACAAGAAAATGTGGGCGTATAAAAAAGAAACCCGTTACCATACGGACACATCAATATTTTTTTTTTATAACGCCATTTACCACCTTTTTAATGTTCTGCAAATAAAATCAACGTTATGAAACTCATTATAATAAAATAATAGCAAAGTTTTAGATTAAATTCAATTTTTACGCAAAGTTGTAGCGTTTTCCTAGCATATTAAAGCGATAATTTCATATTGTTAAGTTATATTTTTAAAGCCTTGAAATAGATGGTATCTATAAACAGTCCTACCGTGTTAAAGATTAATCCTATTAATCCTATAATTCACTATTGCCAGTTGAGAAATTGGCAAAAATATCATTCTCAACTTCAAATTCCATGGGGGGGGGGGGGGGTATAGAAAAACAAGGGAGGTAATTGTGTTATTATTTCCGAGGTGAATGGTTTTTAAGTGTGAGAATGACACCTATGATCGTAGAATAGTGAGTTGACCACCTATTGAGCAAAAGACATAGAAATAATTATGTTTTGACTTTCTTAGAAAATATGAAATTCTCGCTTTAATAGCTTGTACAGGTAAGGATGGTCATGATTGCTGTTAGTATATTTTGAACGGGAATAGGCCAGTTATAAATAAAGTCTCCTTTGGCAGTTTTTAAAAATTCAGTTTTGAAATTTGATGCACGTATAATTGCACAGAACATCTTAATGGTTTCTGTGATGGTTTTAAAGCCATATGGGTGAGAAGATAGAATAATATCTATTCCATATCCGCAAAGATTTATTTAAAGACACCAGTGATTTCACGAATGCCTATCCAATAACCGTTTCAGATCTATTTCAAGACGGCGGCGATGCCACGAATTCTCGCTAGAAAACAAACAGTGGTTTTTATTTTGACGATATCGTAAAATATCAGTCTTCAGCGTTCTTGAGATAAGTTGAGACGAGCAGAAATGTTAGTGTCACGTTATTTATTAGCTACGGCTGCACGCGATGTGTGGAACGGAAGCATTTTGATATTGGCCGGTGTGTGATTGAAGCAGACGATAATATTATTTTGAAGGCAGATGAGTTGCTAAGTTCATGAGTGTAGACGTCAACTTGTAGATGATAATCTAGGTATTGTGGAGTTATATGTGTGCAAATTGGAATATTTTCGAACTTATATTGGCTCTACGCAGGATCCAATCTGTCTTAGATAAAAGCAAGTCTAAGGTACGTATGAATATTTCTAACCGCAGTATGTGATAGCATCGTCGTTTACAAGGAGTTTTACTTCCAACCGAGCTCTTGAAAGTGGAGCTGACTGTCACCTGAACATGTACAAAAACTCTGTAGCTATTAGCTTATTTTGTAATAAAGAATGGTCGTAGCTTGTAAGCCAGTTTTTGGTAATGGTCAGAGTTCAAATCAGCCTACGGTTCATCTGGATTTGAGTTTTAAGGATGAACACCGTATGTTATAAAAGACTTTTAACTTTTACCATCGTTTCTTGGATTATATATACATTCTAAAATGTACACCCCAGCTTAGAGCAGATGATAATAACGCATTGATTCTGGGGATAGGGCAAACTGGTCTATTGGTTCATTGTTCATTTAAAACAGTAAAAATGTCAATTATTGTGTCTATATATTGATATAGTACTTGGTGCAAAAATAACTTTACGTTCTAAATATAGAAGTAGCATAAGGTTTATCGACCCACTGTCAGAATTATAACACAATTTTATTGCTCGGGTTTTTAAACATGAAATAAGATATGCTTCAGTGATCTTCTTTAATTTGAACTTTGTGTAATCTTTAAGAGCTACGATGATCTGATCTGGCTGGTATATTTATTGAAGCAAGAGAGTGATACAATATATGATTCTTCATTAAAGGGACGCTATCCCATTACCGATCAGCCAAAAAAAAAAAAAAAAAAAAAAAAAAAAAAAAAAAAGTTTTATAATTTACTGATTCAGAAGGGCGTCCTATTAATAATGTTGTCGATAGTCTAATCTAAACTGTCTCCATTATGTATGACATCATTTAAGGTTGAAAAGTGTATTATAATATAAAACCCTCCAGTACACGGTGATTGTATAGAAGCATGTTAGATTTCTTTTACTCGATGCTACTACTGCTCGGGATATGACACGTTTGTCATAAAGTGATTTTGGATCACCCGTAATCTGGTAGGGCAAGCAGATTTTCTAACCCTTAGTCCTCTGTATAGTTACTGTGGAAACCATATTGTGAAATAATCAGGATAATTTTGTAAAATATAAAATATACAGGCACTATTTTTAAAGATCAGAATATTCTGAACAGATAGACAAGCGACAGTCATAATATAGGTAAGTAGTTTTTACGTGCAGAAATTGGTTTGTCGTGTCCAATGTATATCGGATACGCCCTTATAATGGAACACGAAAACCTGACATTGGAGACGACAAACCAATTTTTGCCACGTACAAATTTTTCAATAGGCTTATCTATATTATGTCTGTTGTTTGTCTGTCTGTCAGGGTTGGGGGCTACACTAGGGCTGTCCCGAGGCTGAATAGGGGTAGCACCTACCAGGGAGGAACATGGGATAGGTGGCGTTGAACTACCGCTTCCGGTCGGAGTTCTGCTACTTTTAAAACGGGTCATCTGCTAGTAGGTAATACACGCAAGTCTAACGCGCTTACACACAAGAATATAAACGCGACATTAAAGACGACGAAACAGTTCTTTCATATCCGGTTGATATGGACAAAAGAAATACCCGTAAATGGTATAATAATGTGGAGACTGGTGTATGTGTTATGGGATGAATAGAACCGATGAATAATGCATATAATCTAGTCAAGTATATCTGGCAAGTATATCTGAACACAACGTAGGGCCTATCACTTCAAATGGAAAGTGATGGAAAATCATCTAGAAATACTAATCATGCACTTCGTGCACGGTATCTGTCTACCTAACGGTTAAATTCGTAACTGCTGTTGTTCAGCAATAATGACATGAAACCAATTGTCTGAACAGGCATTCCCAGTCTCACCGTGCAAATAAATGTAAATAATTTTAAATAATGTTATATTCAAAATAAATGAAATGAAATGGGGTTTAACGTCCTACTCTTCTGCTCCGAACTGGGCTAATTAAGACGGGCATACGGGAAATTTTTGCCCGGACAGCGGCAGTACGGCCTACTCTTATATAGAATTCCAACTGTCAAGGGATCTTTTACGTGCTCGCCAATGGTAACACGGGACCTCGGTTTTTCGTCCCATCCGAACGATAAGACAGCTGTCCTTGTCAGCCCCTCCGTCCTGCATCACTGACAAGGGGGAACCACGCTGGAAAATATCGATGAACTAGCCACTGCGGCTCCCGAAGCAGAGCAGTTGGATGTTAAACCCTATTTCATAAGCCGAGGTCCCGTGTATACATTGGCGTGCACGTAAAAGATCCCTTGGCAATTGGAATTCGATATAAGAGTAGGCCGTAACGCCGCTGTCCGGACAAAATGTCCCTCATAACACACTGAATAGTGTAAGCCCGTCTTCATTAGCCCAGTCAGAGCATCCAACTGCTCTGCTTTGGGAGCCACAGTGGCTAGTGAGTAAGATGCTGGCTCGCTAGTCTGGACGTCACCGGTTCGCCCCCGGTGTTGACCGAGAAAGTTCATCAATATTTTCCAGCGTGGTTTCCCCTACGGCCTACTCTTATATTAAATTCCAACTGTCAGGGAGTCTTTTACCTGCACGCCAATATGTAAATGGGCCTCGGTTTTTCGTCCCATTTGAACGACTATACGTTATTCCATGCCAGGCCTCCCCGTCTTGCACCACTGTCAAAGAGGAATCACTCCGGAAATGGGGTTTAATGTCCTACTTTTCTGGTAGTCACGCTGACTCAGTTAGTAGGACGTTGGCTCGCTAACGTTGAGGTCTCGTGTTCGATCACTGCCTTGGCCTGGAAAGCTCACCGGAAATTTTCAGACGTGATTCCACTTTACAGTGGTACAAGACGGAGATTCTGGCAGGGGATAACGTATAGTCTTTTGGATGGGACGAAAAATCGAGGTTCCATGTACATATAAGCGAGCACGTAAAAGACCCCCTGACAGTTGGAAATCAATATAAGAGTAGTCCGTAGCGCCGCTATCCGGGCAAATTGTCCCTCACAGTACACTGTATAGCGTATGCCCGTCTTTATTAGCCCAGTCAGAGCAGAACAGTAGGACGTTAAACACCCTTTGTCCTGCACTACCGACAGGGAACCTTCTTGACCAACACCAGGATCAGTGTATATAATCATATTATGAGAGGAATATGGCCGATAACCCGACACCACGACAACCCGACATCACGACACCACATTTTTCATGTCGTGGTGTCGGGTGAAAATGTCGTATTGTCGGGTTGAATATGTCGTGATGTCGGTTTGTCGTGGTGTCGGGTTATGAAGGGCGAAACCACATCACTACATATATGATACCATTCAGCCACCATACTATATGATGTGCTTATAGAGAAATATTATAGTGTCTTAATCATTGCGCATTTAGGTGTTGCAAAAGCAATAATTAGTTACAATACAAGATATGGTCGTGTCTAATTACCACGTTTTATGTTCGACTTTCTCTCAGATTATTTAATATACTCATCAAAAAATGTAGGGGATATTGAAATGCAAATACCTATACAGGTTGCGATATGATATATATAGTCATGAACATTTGACATGCTTTGAGAGTATGTTCACAGATGAAGAACTTATCGCCCCAACAGAACCACTGAGCTGCACGCGCGACACCCAATAGCGCCATTGACACTGCAAGGAGGGGTTGATGAAAACTGCTGCGTGCTGGTTTATCTATCCATGTTTGCTTTCCTATCGGTTTTTGCATAAGATTTACTGTTTAGCGTATCTTTGCTTTAATGTGTTACGTTTAATTTGATCGGGAAAAGTGTTCGTCGACGTCAACGTCAATCGACAACACTGCAAGAATTGACCGTGGCACTGCAAGAGAAGTGAGTAAGATTGCTCCAAATCGTGATTGGACGGTTGATTAGGAGCATGCCACGACGAAATGTTTGAGGATTGGTGGAGCAATTACCCATTATTAAGACAAAACTCAAAAACGTCCATTTTCACTCTCTATCTCTTTGCGAGTGAAATGGGGCCGTCAGATAAGCCGCCCATATGAACTGTTTATGTTCATGTGTAGGCAATTGGCCTGTTACTAACATACACTTGTTACCTCTAATAAAAACAACAGTGCATTTCCGCAGTTTTGTATTGTTTTTGAATATCCCCTACTTTTTGGGAACAGTATATAATTAAACCAAGACACGCCCAATGTAATAATTTGACTCTGGTTGCTTGTCGCAATTTAAAATAAGAATTAAACCTAAATATGATTAGCTATGTGAATGTTGTGATCGATATTGTAAAGTGGGAAGTGCTATCAGATGTTTTATATCTGAAATATTTATTAGGAAGTCTAATGCCATTGCAAAATTGATTAGTACGCCGATTCAGTAATGATAAGAGGGCTGTCGTTAATTAATAACGGTAATTATTTGATGTTAAAACTAAGATAGAGTATTGTAGTCAATTTGTACATCCAATCTTAATATAGACCTGATATTTGATTCAAACTCGAATGTAATGAATGGTCTGGCGAGGCATGTCATTAACTTCGACTAAGCAGCCGGGGAACAAGACATTCTGAACGATAGTTGATTTATTCCGTATCCCAGGGTGGGATTTTTATACCCCCCTGTCCGTCCGTCCACAATTTGTGGACACTCTACAGGTCACAATTTTTATCCGGTTTTGACGAAACTTGAAATATAGGTCTATCTCCCAAACATCTCGATTCCTTTCGATATCGGCATGTATCGGATCATAACTTCATGGATTATGGCCCCTGATTGTAAGAAAAATCACGTTTTTAGCTTGTGGACATTCTAGTGGTCACAATTTCGATCCGATTTTGATGAGAATTGAAATGCATGTTTATAACTCACAGATCTTAGTTCCTTTCGATATTCGCGCATATCGGATCGTAACTCTCTGAATTATGGCCCCTGATTGTACGACAAATCGCGTTTTTAGCTTGTGGTCCCTCTAGAGATCACAATTGTTATCGGATTTAAAAAAAAAAAAACGTTTTAGTATATCACCGTTACACCCTAATAATGGTTGAGTTCGAATTTCGTGAAAATCGGA